GATAAGTTCAAGAGCAAGTGGAGGAACAAATGTTCAATTTGCAAGAGATCCGGACACAGATGAACCACATTTATGAATAACAACAAATCTTAGATAGATTTGACTAATGTTATTTTTGTAATCACGCTACTGGAGATCTCAAGCTACTGTTTATTTTGGACCCTAACATTTTGGTCAATTTAATGTCAATTATTATCAAATTTACTCATGATCTAATATAAATCAAGCAAAAGATGACATACACTGTCACGACCCGAGTCTACACCCTGGACGTGGCCGGCACTCAAGAACCATTGTTGGTTCCCAAGCGAACCCTCATCCTGGCTGACTACAAGCGGGAGACTAACTTAAGCATGCAACACCTTAAAACTGAAATAAAAGTTCATAAAACTTAAATTCAAACTTTAAGTCAAATGAAAACTCTGAATAATAAAATATATTCAACTAGCCCCAAAATTGGCAACTTAAGTCTTGGAAATATTTAATAAAATAAATAATATAGACTTCTCAACTATACTGACTATCTATGAAGCCTCTAACTGATAAAGATAGAAGTCGGGACAAGACCCACGACATCCTGACTAAACTGAAAGGTAAAGGAAATCCTCCAGAAGCAAGGAGGTTCACCATAGCTAACTCGAACTCTCGGATGTATCAACAAAGACTCCCATTGATGATCCTGAATACCTGTGTCTGCATCATGAGAAGATGCAGGCCAAATGGCTCAGTACGTGGAATGTACGAGCATGTAAGGGGAATTCTAAAGCATAAACATAAGCTTGAAACTTGATAAAAAGGAAACATAGGCTTGAAAGAATCTGGAAGAAACTGAAGAACTTACCTAGCTCTACTCAACTCAACATGACTGAACTCATTTCAATATAAAGCAATTTAAAACAAGTGCAATATAAAGAAAAAGGAAAACTGTTTAAAACATGAGGTTAACTCATAATCATAATATCATAAAAATACAAACCATTCTCCCTCTCAAAGTCTACTTGTGCAATGCATGAATGAAGTCCCATACCCCCATTCACACTAAGCAGAACCCCTTGAGGAACCATGCTACTACTGCTGCGGGAGTTTCTCTAACCGACAACAATCACTTATGAACTATAGTGATGATACAGTGCTTTACCTCACGCTGCTGAGGCCCATCATATACCTTGCCGTGATATAAGAAGCTAACTCACTAAGTGGATCCACTAGTCTATGCGAAAAGGATTCATCTAAAAAGTATGACCCTTTTTAACCTATGATGGCTACATGGTTTATGGGGGCTGTGAGCTGTTTGAACTCTCCCCCATATCGGTGCTCAATACTACTCCCAAAAAGCTCTTATATTTTAAAAACATACTTCTTTCTGCTGATTTGAGATAATTGCTCAAAAACTTAGCTCAAAGGCTATCTTGGAAATCAAAGTTTCCCCTCTTGCTT